CTTGGCTCTGTGAACGCTCGTGTTAAAAAACAAATAAAAGCATCACATGAGTAAAACCGTTTTGCAAGACAAGCACGATGCCTCATTGACCGGGCCTGGCTCTAAATCAAGATAGCCGGGCCGCGGCGCAGGGCAGGTCGCTGTCAGCAGCCACCGCATTGTCCCAGCCATCTCGTGAAAGACGCGAGAACAATGGGGCCGATGTTCCGTCCCGGGCACCAGCCGGGCACTTCTGTGTGGCAGACGGCAGCTGTGGCGAGGCAGCCGTGCGTGCTGCGTGTTCAGCTCATTCCGGGGATTCAGGGCTGGGCGCCACAATCGCCCAGCCACCGCACCGGCAGCCCCCGTGGCCTGGGTGGCACCTGTCTTGAGTCCCCCCAGCCACGGATGCCTCTCGGGTTCTCAGCCTGGCTCTCATTATAGACCCAGAGTCAAACCTCCTGACTGTTCACACGTCCAGGCTCTCGCCCCAGCGCTGTTGCTGTTGGCTGTGGGTTTAGGGCAGATCCTATCACCGCTCTGGGCCTCAGTTTCCCCCTATGCCAGCTCACCTATGTGGCAGGCCACGGATGAAGTACGGATTGTCTGAAGTCAGCACTGGCAAGCGTGGGTGAGGCCAGGGCCTTTCTGTGTTGCTGACGGCTGCGACTTTGGTCCAAGCCATTTGCAGGACAGTTAGGCAATATTGGGGAACAACATCAAGATTCACAGCCCGTAGCTCAGCACAGGTATCCACCATCTCCTAGGGAAATACCCCCCAGCGTAGAAACATTTTCCACCCAAGCTGTGCGTCATGGTGTTGTCTAAAAGGGAAAACTGGAAGTAACAGCTACTACTTCCGGGGTCATTGCCAGACACTGTTCTAAACACTTTCTCTATATTTGTTTAATCCCCACAACAACCCTAACAGCCCGATGCTACATGAGACGTCAGGTGACTGAGGCCCAGAAAGGGTAAGCAATGTGCCCCAGGCCACACAGCAAGTGATGAGGCCGAAATGTAAACCCACGCCATCTGGCTCAAAAGTCAGACCATTGCGCCATACTGCCTCTTTGTCAAATAAAATAAGGTTCTTTGTTAAAGGCAACTGACTTCATAAAAAATCACACCCTTTTGAAAAAATTTCATAATATGCCAAAGTAGAACATGACACAGCAAGTCGACCCATCCGATTCATCACTTCGCAAATGAGGAAACCGAGGCCCAGGGAGGGACAGGGACTTGCCCAGGGTCAGACGGGTGGCACAAAGGGCACCCCTGTCGGTTCCAGTTACTCTGCCTCAGTGACATGCAATCAACTGCCACTCGCCACGCTCCCTACGAAGCACGAGGATGGGCGCGCATTGCTCTTATCACAACGGAAGTCGAGGGTCTGTTCATACAGCGCTCTTAAAACTGAAGGTCAGTCCACTTATCCTTCACGTGGAAATGGTGGCAAAAGGCAGCTGGAGAAGTGACCCAGTCCCCAGGACATGGAATCCAGGTGGCCCACCCGGAAGCTCCGTCAGGGACATCTGGTCTGAGTGTCCATTAAGCAGAGGGAGAGCTGACACACGCCAGTCTGGGCATGACTTTAGTGACTGTGGGAAGACACATTAGACCAGCACGACGGACCCTTTGTGACCCGAACGGCGACATCTGCAGCTGTAGTACAAACGTGAGGGCCTGCAGGAGCTTCAGAGAGTCACCGTTTTTACGTGTAGAGGCGGAAAATGCAAATGATAATGGTCAAGAGATGACAGTGCACCCGCAGCTCGGGACAGTGTCCCGCCTCCCCCACCGGAGTGGACGTCTGTGCTGCTTCACCCACCAGCAACCCCTTCTTTTAACAACTGGGATCCCACTGCGGCTGCCAATCCCGAAACCCCGCCTCCTGCCCTACAAGGTGTGCATGTGACCCAGACCGGGCCAATCAGGGTCCTCTTAAGGGATTGATTGACAGCAAGAGAAGAGGCCTCTCTTCTTCTAGGATCCCGACCCAAAGGACCACCGTAGCCTGGACCTTCCCTCCTGCTGGGCAGAGGCTGCCTGAGGCCAGACCCAGAGAAAAACAGAACTGAAGGAATGAGATGAAAATACTGCTTGAGCCCTGGATCCAGCCACACCTGAAGCCAAAACCCCCACACTTCCCGGTTCCAAAGGCCGAGCAATTCCCCTTTTTGCCTCAACATATTTGAGCTTGCAAACAAATGAATCATAACTCCTCCTCCCACATAAAGTTCCTACCAGAGAATCAGTTTCTCCCAATCTCCTCGGCCGCAGGCCCACTTCACCCAGCTGAAAAGAGTTCCGGATTTGGAGGAAGTTCTGCAGACTGCTTGGTGGGTACGAGGTTTCCTTCGGGGGTGGTGGGAAAGTTCCGAAACTAGGTAGCGGCGATGGCTGCACAGCGCTGTGAGTGTGCCTGACGCCACTGACGTCTACACTTGAAAATGGTTGAAGTGGTAAGTTGTATGTTACTGTATTTTACCCCAAGTTTTCAAATGCAAAGAAAAAGGAACTGCAAGATTCAAAAGACCATGCCCAGTGTGAGTCCTGGGAGCAGTCCCTCCCTGCGGGTCCTCCTGCCACGCCCAAGAGAGGGCCCAGCAGGGACGGGCAGAATGCAGCAGGAGAGCTTTGGCCATGCCAACAGGCATTCCTTGGCATTTTCCATCCCGCTGCCACACAGAAGAACCCCGAACGCTAGTTAACCATTAAAACCCAACTGGTCTGGAGAAAAATGCCCTGTCGGGTTAAGCAGGTGACTTTCCAAAGCAAGGGCTCCAGGGCCAGAGTGCAAACAGAGGCGTTACCCGGCCACGCTGATTAGGATGCGAAACGAATGACATTTACTGAGCCCAGGCCCAGGCACAGGCTGACCCTTTCAAAAGGCATCTGATGCCCGGGCGCAGTGGCGCACGCCTGTGATCCCAGCACTTGGGGAGGCTGAGGCAGGAGGATCACTTTTGGCCAGAAGTTTGAGACCAGCCTGAACAACATAGTGAGACCCCATCTCTACAAAAACTAGAAAAATTAGCTGTGAATGGTGCTGTGCACCTGTAGTCCCAGCTACCTGGGAGGCTGAGGCAGGAGGATCGTTTGAGCCCGGGAGTTTGAGGTTGCTGTGAGCTGGGCTGACGCACCGCCCTCTGGCACCGCCCTCTGGCAATCGGACGACCCATACCTTTTAAAACTGATTATCATGACTAATAACACCGGAACAGAGCCCCACACCTCCCGAGAATGTATTCTAAAGAAACAATTCGATGGAAGAGAGAAAGGAGCCGTGTGTATTAAAGTGTTGCTTGGAACAATATTTATAAAAATAAACATTGGAAGCAACTCAACAGGCCACGCACAGCGGAACATTTAGTACATTACATTACATTTGTGAAACGGGACACTCTGCTACCAGAAAAACACTAAT